GAGTCACACAGCTTCTCTACTTCATGTAGCTGGGCAATTTTTTTTTTTCCCCTGGCTCTGGCAGAAAAATGAGGTTTGTTCTTTGGAGAGAATAAAACAGAGGTCTCTGACTTGGATGATACCTGTTAAAATTGAGGCTGTGCATCAGTAACACACTGAAAATGGTGTTTGAGTGAATGTTTGCAAGTAGAATGCTGAGACTCTCAACATTTTCCCTACCACATGATTCCAGGAGACTGGAAGACACTTTTCTGAGCAATCTGATCAGCCCCAAGAGAAAACATTCAAATATGCTGGTGTTGGGGTTTCCTGAAAGCAGAGCCAGATTATCCTACAATGCAACTCTCATTTAATAAACCCACTTATGTGCTCAGAGTGTCCAACTGTATTTTTAGTATCATACTCTTAAACATGAGCAGAAAACTAAAGATTGCCTTCTCTTTGAAGAAAGCTTCTAAGATATAACACACAAAAGTGGAATTGGAAAAAATAAATGGTGGTTATACACAAGGAACAATTTCAAAAACAAACAAATAAAAATCCTATTAATATTTTCAGAGCATTAAGAGAATATACAGCACTAATGAAACAGCAGTAAGATACAATAAAAAATAAAATGTCAGAGAGCAAAAAACAAATAATGATCTCTTGGAAATTTTAACATGATAGCAGAAATAAATTCAATAAATGGGTTAGATGTTAAGGAAATCTTCCAGACTAATGGGGCAAAAAGACAAAAGGTAGAATATTTGAGAAGAAAAGTAAGACAGGAGGTACAAAATCAATATATTATGGATTCCAGAAAGAAAAAAGCAGAGAAAATGAAGGGAAGGAATAACCAACTAATTTAAGAAAATATCCTCCAATTGAAAAACAGAGGTTACTAGGCTGAAGGGACCCATGGCAAGATCAGCATAATGGATGAAAATAAACCCATTCTGAGCATACTTTGGAACATACTTATACTAAAAAGCATCCACTTTTTATTTAAAATTTAAATTTAAATGAGCACCCTGTATTTTACCTGGGAAATCTACATTGACCGTATCACTACCAAAATTGTCAATTCCTCATAATTTCCATTTCTATCAATTTATTGGACTATCACTGCCATCTATTCAACTTTTTCTGCTATCCGAAACTCAACAATCATTCAACACTATAGGGACCTACAATTATAGGGACCTGCATTTATCCTAACACCTTTTCACTATCATTTACAACCATCACCAGCACCCTACCACTTCCACACTGTGCCTCAAATCCTCATGTTCTTCTTTACACAGTTTAAATTTCATGGTTAATAAGTTATATTTACTTCTTCACACACATCCTAAATTCCCTTGTTCCTCTTTTGCTTTCAGGAATTTGCTTGACTAAATCACAGTCTTAGTTCAATTCAATACTACACCTTATCTTCAGTTACTGGGGACGAACTCTCCATAATCCTATTTAATGCAAGCCCTTCTACTTGGACACTAGGTTCTATCACCTCTGGCCTACTTAAGGATATAAACTTATTTAATTCTCTGATCTTTTTCCAACATCATCAAAATAGCTCCTTTTATTGGATCCTCATCAACATTCAAAAATGCTGTTATTTTTCCCCTTGTCAATACCCCACTCCCATTCCAAACTTATTTCTTGACCCATTTCTCTCCTTCCTTTTATAATGGAACTCTGTAAAGGAATAGTATTTGTTCTTTCCACATTTATCTCTTCCCATTCCAGTGACACCTAAACTGACATTTGAAAGGTATGTAGGGGATGCTGAGTGTGAGAGGTGGGACAGTGCACAGAAGAGCTTCTTAGGAAGAGTGCAAAGGGCAGGAATGAAGGAGAGGAAAATTATGGGAAATTAAGTTAGAAAGGGGGCTTCCAGATGGCTCAGAGGGTAAACAATCTGCCTGCAACACAGGAGACACAGGAGAGACGGGTTTGGTTCCTGGGTTGGAAAGACCCCCTGGAGGGAGAAATACTGAGAAATACTCACTCCAGTATTCTTGCCTGGGAAAGCCTGTGGACAGAGGAGTCTGGAAGGCTACAGTCCATGGGGTCACAAAGAGTTGGACATGACTGGGCACATGGCACAGGGGAGTTAGGAACAGGGACTAGAAAACCACATGAAGGAAACTAGACCATTCTTAAACAAATTTAGTGCTATTAAAGGTTTTTTTTTTTAAACACTTGAATTTGCATGATCAGATTTTCATCTTAGAAGATCACTGGCTGTGATGTGGAAGGGGAATTGATAGTGATGTTAACATCTGGAAGACCAACTAAAAGTCTGTTACAGTACAGGTGAATTAAATTGAGTCAAATTGAGTTGTTGGCAGTGGGGACGATGAGTACTAAAATTCTTTGAGAGATGTTTGAAGAGTATGGAGAGAACTTGGCCCTCTCATTTGTCTGGTTTACTTCTCTGCACTGAAAGGGGCTGGAGTAGATTTTATAGAGAAAATAGTAAGTGAGGATTCAACTGAAGATTCAAGTGAGGACTCATTTGTAAAAAATAAATTGCTTGGTTTTCTAAAGCTAGCAGAATCTATTAGTAAGTAACTATTAATTAGAACCCAATTGATACCTTTCCCACTTACCTGGAGAGGTGACCCTATGATCTAAATTGGAAAGTTGTTTTTAACATAATAACATGTAAAATAGTGATGTTCAGCCAGGGGTAAGAACCATTTACCCCAACCCCCTAAGAGAGCTGTTAAGAATTACTACTTTGCTCTCATTTACAGAGCTCTCTCTCCAGAATTCTGCTGAATCTGGCTATTGCAAAGTGGCTACTCTAAGAGCTCATGTGCAGGTTGTTGAAATTTCCAAATTTTACCAAGAATACTTTGTTATCATCAGGGTCGCCTGGAATTGGACATTGGTTTTTTTTTTTTTTTTTCCACTTATTTTTATTAGTTGGAGGCTAATTACTTTACAATATTGTAGTGGTTTTTGTCATACATTGGCATGAATCAGCCATGGATTTACATGTGTTTCCCATCCCGATCCCCCCTCCCGCCTCCCTCCCCATCCAATCCCTCTGGGTCTTCCCAGTGCACCAGCCCTGAGTGGACATTGTTTTCCATTGTTAATGCCCTTCAATGATACATTATTTTTATTTTTGCTTTTTTTTGGCCTTGCCACTCAGTTTATGGGATCTTAGTTCCCTGACCAGGGACTGAGCTGGGACCCACAGTGAAAGCACTCGGCCCTAACTAGTGGACCACCAGGGAATTTCCACTTTTGCTTTAATTTTTTGTGGGACTTCTGGTTAACGGTGACAAGAAATATTGAAAATTTCTGATATCGATATTCTAGAGTCTTCATGCAATTATAGAAATGGGAATGAGCTTAAAAAATTAAGTTCTACTGCTATTTTCAAGCAAAGCAAAATGAGTTTCAAGCTAATAAGCATAATTTATAAAGAACATAAATTTTAAAATAAAAAATATGACAACTGGGGAACTTCCCTGACTGTCCAGTGGTTAAGACTCTATGCCCCCACAGCAAGGAGGACAGGTTCTATCCCTAGTCAGGGAACTAAGATCTGTATGCTGCGTGGTACGACCAAAACATCAAAAAAATCATAATAAAAAATAAATAAAAAACATCACAATTGGTTAAATATTTCTCCCTTTAGTCCCACTATACATCATACTGTTTACAAAGCTTAGTACCTAAAGAAAATGAAAAGAGTATTTTATTAACCAACTATTAGTATGAATACCTATTAAGAGGGGAATAATTCAGTATTTTTTATGATTTGTATTTTGAATCTTAATAGATGTATATTGTCGGGGTCTGTGCATGGATCGGAAAAGAATTTCCAGACATGAAGCAGAATGAGAGGAAAATCAGGTTTATGAGTGAGAGACACTGTTAGAACAGCGGGCTGGCTCAAGCGAGAGCCGACCCCTTTCAGAGGTCAGTAGTCAATTTTTATAGCCTCAAGACAGAAAATTCCTACTGGAAGGGAGACATTAGGTGATTGGCTAGGACGCTAGAGGGTAGGTATTTTACCTAGTATGGCGTTAGGGAACCGGCTGGTTTAGATCCTAAGGCTAATGGCAACAGCTGCTATGGGGTTTAGCCACTTCCAGAGATTTATGCTCTGTGACCCTGGCATGCTGCAGTCCATGGGGTCAGAGAGTCAGACATGACCGAGCGACTGGACTGAACTGAACTAACCTTGGTATAGGGCTCCATATATCTATGACGGAAAATGTAAGTGGTACAAGAGTATACGATGAAAAATAAGTCTCCCTCTCACTGCTGTGCTCAAGCCATCATACTCCCTCTCTTCCTAAAGACAGCCTCTCTTTCCAGTTTCTTACGCATCTTTGTCAGGTATATGGGCCTGTGGAATGAAATAAAATCCCTTCCCAGATGACACTAGTGGTAAAGAAACCTGCCTGCCATGGGGGTATAGAGAGACACGGGTTCTATCCCTGACTCAGGAAGATCCCCTGGAGGAGGGCATGGCAACCCACCCCAGTATTCTTGCCTGGAGAATCCCTTGGACAGAGGAACCTGATGGGCTACAGTCCATGGGGGTGGCAAAGAGTCGGACATGACTGAAGCGACTTTAATGCATAGAGGGGATAGGACTCCTTAACATGTGGTCAAGACACATGTATCTGGGCCATCCACATGTGAGTTAAAAAAACAAAAAACAGTACAATGGCAGCAGGAATCTTAGTAACTTGTGAGAATATCAGCAAAGCTGCAAATGCTAGGGATATTCATTACAAAGGGTATGATAATTTCTTGGTTTAAAAAAGTCTATACATACATCAATTCAATAAATACTTCTAAAGGGTCATTATGTATCAATAGAAATTTCTAGTAAATGATATTTGTGGAATCTAGGTTATGGATAATTTGTCAGAGTTAAAATAACTACACATTTTAGTGATTATTATGATTTTTATCTTATGTGAACAAGATCTAGTAGCTTTCAGTTCATTTTCAATTATTTTTCAAATGAAGACAAAGTCAAATTTTATTTTAAAATAGAATTTATTGAATACACAGTGAATTCAATACATTAAAAAAACTTTTTCTTGTCAGTATTGGCACATAATGAAGAGATTTAAAGCACTGCCAAATTAACACGTTGAAAATTTTTAAATCATGTTCCATAAAAAAATAAAGCCTAGTAGTATTATAAAAGTACTAATTTACACTAACATATCAAAGGGTTAAAAGAAAAGAATTCCACACAAAATTTTAAGAAGTAAAAATTCAATCATGTATTTTAAAATAGGTTCTCATGTGATAAAAAGACAACAGAAGGTATAAAAGGGCAAAACCCACCTAATTTATACTGACTTGTCTCACTGGGAAATCCTATAGGCTGACCAGGTAAATTTTAGATATTGAAAAAAAAATCCATATTCTGAAGGGAAAGCAGTTGTTTATGATACATTTTATGCCTAATCAAAGAAATACATGACATTAAATATTCCACATTTTTTTTAGTTGTCCCTTAATTGCCAACAATGTAAGACTATTCTAAAAAACCTAGTTTAAAATTTTTTCCCCCAATGAACATTTTCTTAGATACAAAAGCTGTCCTTAATTATGGAAACCTTAAACAAGGACATTTATCATCTTTACTGTAATATGGCCACTATAATACTCTTATGATCAAATCATAAGTACCACATTTCTTTCAGATTCCAAAATGTTCAGTAACTTGACTCAGATCTCCTGAATTTACAGAGTATCTTTCTTGCAGGAAGCATAAAATGATTTTTTGTCCAGGATTTTTATTTTATTTTCATTACCCTCCCCAACCCCCTTTAGAGTTACCTCTGAGGTAAATAGAGCACTGAAAACATCAACAAATTTTTAAACTGCAAAACTGGTTATCTGGCATCATCTTGAATAAATTCAGCATTTTCCCTTGTTAATGGGAAAATACAAAGCCTTCAAACTAGTATAATCCACTAGTTTGAAAAGCAATTTCTATTTTTGAAGTCTCATTAACTGAGATTAGGTTGAAATTTTAGAGACAAATCTTAAATAAATTAGTTCAAATATGAAAATAAATTTTGCTTATACCTAAGGCAGAAATTGGGCTTTCCAGGTGGCGCTCGTGGTAAAGGACCTGCCTGGTGATGCAGGATACACAAGAAACGCAGGTTTGATCCCTAGGTCGGGAAGATTCCCTGGAGGAGAGCATGGCAACCCACTCCAGTATTCTTGCCTGGAGAATCCCATGTATAGAAGAGCCTGGTGGGCTATGGCCCATAGGGTTGCAGAGTCAGACATGACTGAAGTGACAGCACGTACACACACAAGGCAGAAATTAAAAGAGCAAAGGAAAACTGAAAAGCTCATTTGTATTTACTACAAATGTACCATTTCATCAAAATCTCTATGAACATGTAACTAAAATCAGTGAATGCCAACAGAAGGGTTAAAACTTTCTTCCTTCAAAAGAAAAATAAATCGCTGAGTCTACAAATAAGATATTGCTAGTCTAAAAAAAATCTAGAAGCTAGAAGAAAACAATGTAGCAGAATTTCAAAGTCCTTTCCCACAAAACTCATGTTTACCTTTGTTGAAATGAAGTAAAAATCATCTACTTCTACAGTTTGAGAAAAAATGATAGTCTTCTAAATGCAAACTTTCATCTTTCCTATCCTCTGTTCATATTTTGATTCCCCAAATAAAATATTTCTGCACTTTACTGTAATTTTTATAAATATTTTCAGTTCAGTTGCTAGGATTAAGTAATACAAAGTTGACACTGAAGACAAAGAAACTCAAGGAATTTCACTTTTTGTTTTTTCTATTTAATCAGTAAGGTTTAAATAGCAAACTAGAACAAGATTTTACCTTCTTACTAGTGGTTGGATAAAGTAGAATTTGTATCAAAGAACTAAAATTCCAGTTTTTTAGGTATAAAATTTTCTGTAGCTTCTTCGTAATATGTGGTCAAAGTTTTTGAATATCCTAAAGCTGGAATAAGAGTGCAGATAACTTTACTTAAGAAACCTGTATTTTTGGCAAACATTTTATTGATATTATAAACGAAAATATAGTTGGGAGCTTTCACCTGGCACTTAATCTGTTCTTCTCTCTATCCGAGTCTGCCAAATAAATTAGATTCTTTGGAAAAAAGTCAAACGATATTATGGAGGCAAAATCAACATGAACTCTTACTTGTCAGATAGTTATTTGTCATTTGCCATAAACCAAGTGACCCATAAGTCTATTAAGTAGAAAGAAGGGCTGTCAAGGGAGCTTCTATATCTATAAATTACTCAGTAACTTAACAATCTGGGAAGATATCAATGAATCAAAAGCATATAATTCCCTCAAGTGTTAAACTTAGGTCAAACATCAAAGGTTTGATCCATTTTTGAAAGGTGTTAACTTTATCTTTTAATCAGTTAAACTGGCCTTAGAATGAAAAATCGTAGATGTGTTCACGTATCTTATACATTATTTACAGAGAAATACAAAATCTTGCTATCTTTGCAACCACTTTTCATTTGGGGATTTCTTAAGAGAAAAGAAAATAGACAATTTGACCTATGACTTGCAGGATAATGTTCAAGTTCACATATGAGATTGAACAAAGAAAGAAAATTTTTTCAAGTTAGACGGTAGCAGAGTTATTACTTGGTTTAACAAACTCATTTTGCAGATGAGAAAACAGATACAACTGCATTGAGCTAATAAAATTTACTCAAATTTTGTAATTAAATTGAGACTAACACCCAGTATCTTGTCTTCTGTCTCCAATTCTTTCCTCTGAAGCACAGTTTGTATATTAGTAAACCATGCTTCACCCAAATTTTAAAAAGCTAACAGTGGTCTCCCATGGGGAAAGGAGTAGGAATTGGGGGAAGGGGAAAGATAGAGGAAGGGATTATTAGAGATGTTAGTACTCAAGCAATGAGTCATATGTATTAATATATAATTTGCTAAGAAAAATAATTTTTACAAAATATTAAGTCTTAACATTAGCAGATCCAAACTTCAGAGATCAGAAATACCACAGTGGAATTACAGGTTAGTTTAGAAATTTAAGCTACATCTTCAAGGAAACAGAAGACCACTGAAAAATGTGGATTTCAATTTTTGTTTCCTTTCAAATGACTAGTTTTATATGTTTTTCTATAAATGGAAAAATATTCTAATATAACACATATGTAATCTGAAGTAATTTAGGTTCTCAAGTTTAAAAAAGGAGTGGGATTTTTTAAAACTTATGCTACAAAAATACACTTTTATCTGTATTCCCAAATCATGTATTTCTAACCTCTGCAGTGATAAAAGGTCCAAAATTCCTCTGCTGAACTGCCTTCTTGAATGATCTTAAACAGTTAGTTTTATAGAGCATAAAGTTTGCATAATTCTTTACAGTAAAATCTGCTCAGAAATTCACTTTGACAAATACTTTTATCTATCATTAGAGTTGAAAGAAACAGACTTTAATAAGACAAGTACAGGGGTGGGTGAAGAGTTTTTTTTTTATAAAAATATACTATATATAATACATCCTGAAAATTACACAGACCATATGCTTTTATTTAATGTGAAGGCACAACTTTAACATAGTTAAAAGCAATTGTATTTTAATTATTTATCATGTAATTGTCAGTACCAGCTCTTACAGATACATATTTGCAAGCATATCATTGAAGTTTCTTTCAGATTGTCAATTCAAAAGTCAATTTAAAAAGTCAAACTCTATTTGTAGAAAATCAATCGACACATTATTGCACATCCACATAATATTATTGTTGGACAATCTGTTCACCAGCAGTCCCAGGGTTTTCTTCATTTGTTGCAGAGTCCAGATGGTCCATCATCTAGGCATAAATAAAAGATGTTAGGAAATGTAAATTTTCAACTTGCCCCCAGTCACTAATTTGGCAAAAGGATTCCGAGTTTTTTTTAAAGAAAAAAAAAAAGACACAGAGTGTCCCACTGAACCAAGCACTCCTTTTGCAGCAATGTACTATTTCCACAGCCACATTCCTCAGGACATGCTCAGGGTGACAACTCCTTCAGGAAGCATAATCACTGGACTCAGGGCCAATCTGATAAGTGCTTTCTCCGGATCTTCCACTACTTCCATTTCCCAATATGAATATCGCACTGTGTGGCAATGGAGACTCCACCACAAGATATTCCTGATGCTTATTGTAGGACTCTATTTCAAGCAGTGTCCACTCCTGGAGGTAGAAAACTAAAACTGGCTCCACAAATCACTATGCTGGTTCAGGGACAGTGTAACCTGGTTGATGCCTTGAATATTGACCTTAGGATAATTTTAAAATGACATATGAGATTTTTAAAAGACTGTATGAAAAAAATTTCTACTAAGAAAAAAGAAATTTAAAGTACTTAAAGGTCAAATGATATCTAAAAACAAAATCAAGAATAATACATTTGCTATAGACTATTTTAGCAGAATTACCAGTTAAAACTTTTCTCAAATGATCACTTCAACTCTTCTCATATTCTCATAAAAATCTTATCATATTTGGGAATAAAGGGAAAAAACTGCTTAAATATTTTCAGTGTTTTTACCCTGTTCTTCATATAAAACTACCTAAAAATAGAAAAAAAAAAAGAACAACTTCATGTCTTTCTGAAGACTGTCAAAGATTTTTAGATTAGTGATTAAATTTAAATACTGGATTTAGAAAAGGCAGAGGAACCAGAGATCAAATTGCTGGATCATTGAAAAAGCAAGCAATTTTCAGAAAAACATCTACTTCTGCTTTATTGACTATGCGAAAGCCTTTGATTGTGTGGATCACAACGAACTGTGGAAAATTCTTCAAGAGATGGGAATACTAGACCACCTGACCTGCCTCCTGAGAAATCTGTATGCAGGTCAAGAAGCAATAGCTAGAACTGGACATGGAGCAACAGACTGGTTCCAAATCAGGAAAGGAGTACATNGTATTGGAGAAGACTCTTGAGAGTCCCTTAGACTGCAAGGAGATCCAACCAGTCCATCCTGAAGGAAATCGGTCCTGAATATGCATTGGAAGGACTGATGTTGAAGCTGAAACTCCAATAATTTGGCCACCTGTCATGAAGAACTGACTCATTAAAAAGACCCTGATGCTGGCAAAGACTGAAGGCGGAAGGACAAGGGGACGACGGAGAATGAAATGGTTGGATGGCATCATCGACTCAATGGACATGAGTTTGAGTAAGCTCTGGGAGTTGGTAATGGACAGGGAAGCCTGGTGTGCTGCAGTCCATGGGGTTGCAAAGAGTCGGACATGACTGAGTGACTGACTGAACTGATATACTTTTTCCCTTCTCCTTCATCAAGAAGTAGAAGACAAGATAAATATTCCTATTTTAAAAATCCGAGTCTAAAAGCTTTAGTGTTTTTTGGGAGAGGGAGCAGAGAAAAGAATAATTTCAAATGGGGTCTCTGGAACTTGCCAGACAAAGAAAACAAACATGAGCTGAAGCTTTCAGCTGACAACTGTCTCAAGTGATGGAGTCAGATTATAAAACCCAAACCTGCTTATATTCTATGAATCATTTCAAGCCCCTAAACAATCAGTTTCGTGGTCCTCTATTTGCTAAAGATATCCCTAAGATTATAGTAACTGCATATTCATAGCACTTCTGGAGTGAAGGAGCAAAGCCCAAATCAAGATAGGTAATAGAAAAGATGAAGTTGTTGAAGAGCTGATTTTAGTTACAATTTAAATGAGAGGGAAAGGAGAAGCATATAAGATATATTTAGGCCCCCTTTTTTCCAGCAATGTAGACACTCTGGGTGTAAGAGGCTGGAGCTGTGGGGACAGAGAAGTGAAGAATGGATGGTGGGGAAACACTCTCCTCCAAGACCTGCCGATTCTGCTAACTGTCACCTAATGAAGTAATAGTCTACACTCTAAGTTATAATATGCTTCTTCTTTCCTAATCCTTTAGTACCTCATTGGTACAGTAATCTAATTTCTAAATAAAGAGATATTAAAAAAAAACTTGTAAAACCAACTTATTGAGAAGTAATATCTCTACTCTGCATTTATTTTTCATCACTGACTTTTCAATAAAAACAGTACAGAAACAGAGAAGTACAAACTTGAAACAGTTTTTAAAAACACAACAAAAATTAACATAGGTATAAAATTAACTGGCAAAATTAATGTAAATTGTTTTATCATAATAAATAATTATTTTTTCATAGTAAATAGGCAAGCTCAAGTTAGAAAGATGTCCTCTGAAATTGGGTCAGCTAACCCGGCATTTACTGATAGCTCTGAACCAATCTCCTGAAACAGATGAATAAAAGTGCTCATGTTGCTGCAGTGACTGGAGAGCAGCTGATACTACAGCAGAGCTGTTCTAAGTATCTCTATATTTTGACTTGTCAGTTACAGCTTGTGACTTCTAAAAATAATTAGAAGCACTAGTGATATTTAGCAGAGACAAACTCACTGTTTACTGAATATTAACAAACTGAAAACTTACTTCCCACCCATTGGAGGTTGCTGCATAAATCTAACTCCACTGATTTAGGATTAGAAGCAAAAAAAATTCTCCCCAAACAATTTTCTATTAATTGTTCTATGTGCCAGAATAATTATGCCATGGCTTCAAGTTTCTCTCTAGAGAAAGAACACCTTAACTTTCTCTACACTCACTAGAAAATAAATGAAACTGAATACTTTAGCTCTTGAAGCAATCCAGAAAAAAAAGTTCATAAAAAATACAGGGTAAGTAGCTTTTAGCTATAGGAAAGAATACAAAATTAAGGTTTCCAAAGTAGTAGTATATTAGTGAAATCCTATAGAAAAACATTACTTCCCTTGATCAGAGAAATTCATGGAAGGGCTAAAAGACTTTAAGTAAAATACTAAAGTATTTCTATGAAGTCTCTAAGTTTCAGTAATGAAAGAGGTATAATTTGTCCTTTGAAAACAATGTAAAAAAGGTCATCAGGGCTACCCGTGAATTAAAAATTTCCAGTGGAAAGTCCTGCTTTCTGCTACTCTTACACTCAGCTCTAATATCAGGGATTAGAACGAACCAAACGATAGCGGCATAAACAAACGTGACACCACCTGAGACTCTGGTTTTAATTTGTGTTACTTAGCTTACATTTGATTCTTTCAAACAGCAGCCAGAACTTTTAGCACTTGCAAAATGGTTCTATATAAAGACTGTAGAGATATAGAAGTCTAGTTTAGTATTTAAAAAGTGCCATACTTTTACACCTCGTAACAATTCCGGCAATTTTTTGAAGACTGCTAAAACACAATCCAAAAATTTATACACACACACAAAAGTGATTAAAAAGGTCAGTGGATTAAGGACTGAACATTCTAATTACTTTGCATGAATAATATCAATAAACATATTTAGCAGAGACAAACTCACTGTTTACTGAATATTAACAAACTGAAAACTTACTTCCCACCCATTGGAGGTTGCTGCATAAATCTAACTCCACTGATTTAGGATTAGAAGCAAAAAAAATTCTCCCCAAACAATTTTCTATTAATTGTTCTATGTGCCAGAATAATTATGCCATGGCTTCAAGTTTCTCTCTAGAGAAAGAACACCTTAACTTTCTCTACACTCACTAGAAAATAAATGAAACTGAATACTTTAGCTCTTGAAGCAATCCAGAAAAAAAAGTTCATAAAAAATACAGGGTAAGTAGCTTTTAGCTATAGGAAAGAATACAAAATTAAGGTTTCCAAAGTAGTAGTATATTAGTGAAATCCTATAGAAAAACATTACTTCCCTTGATCAGAGAAATTCATGGAAGGGCTAAAAGACTTTAAGTAAAATACTAAAGTATTTCTATGAAGTCTCTAAGTTTCAGTAATGAAAGAGGTATAATTTGTCCTTTGAAAACAATGTAAAAAAGGTCATCAGGGCTACCCGTGAATTAAAAATTTCCAGTGGAAAGTCCTGCTTTCTGCTACTCTTACACTCAGCTCTAATATCAGGGATTAGAACGAACCAAACGATAGCGGCATAAACAAACGTGACACCACCTGAGACTCTGGTTTTAATTTGTGTTACTTAGCTTACATTTGATTCTTTCAAACAGCAGCCAGAACTTTTAGCACTTGCAAAATGGTTCTATATAAAGACTGTAGAGATATAGAAGTCTAGTTTAGTATTTAAAAAGTGCCATACTTTTACACCTCGTAACAATTCCGGCAATTTTTTGAAGACTGCTAAAACACAATCCAAAAATTTATACACACACACAAAAGTGATTAAAAAGGTCAGTGGATTAAGGACTGAACATTCTAATTACTTTGCATGAATAATATCAATAAACATAGACTGAGAATTTACTGTGTGTAAAACAGTGTTATCAGCATTGTGGGTTCCTAACATCTAGGAGCTAATTAGTGAGGATGTGCATGCTCAGTCATGTCCGATTCTCTGTGACACTATGGACTGTAGTCCACCAGGCTCCTCTGTCCATGGGATTTTCCAGGCAAGAATACTGGAATGGGTTGCCATTTCCTACTCCAGGAAATCTTCCTGACCCAGAGGAACGACCCATGTCTCATGTCATCGTTAGCAGGCAGTTTCTTTACCACTAGTGCTACCTGGGGAGGCATTCCTTCATAAATATCGACACTACAAGGCAGATGTTAATAAGTATTTAACATCAAAGTCTAAAGAAAGTATGGGGAAAGGTGAACCTAATTTCAAATGGAGAACTCCTGGGTATCTGCTTAGAGATGGCAGATTTTGAGCTGGGAGTTATATAAGAGATACTCTGGGAACAGACAATGGAGGTAGGGGAGAAGAGCGAACTGTTAGCCAAAGAGATGAACCAGTAACTACCTGAGGGTTGTCTTCAGGGCTGACCCTCAGGTCTCTCCTACACTAAGTTCCGACATAGCCTGCCTTTATTTTGCCAGACTTGTTGAGGTTCCCTGTTCTACTTCCCAAGCCTCTACCAGCTTTATCTGATTTCAACATCCACTTGCCTTTCAAGGCCTTGGGCTAATTGATCTCTTTAGATTAGATTCTCCTACCTGCCTGTAGATCCAACCTCACTTGATGAATGAGGAATCTTTAGAGATTAACTTGCCAGAACTGATGCCAAAGTCTATCATAATACTGTCTCCCACAAATAACAACATTCAAGCTAAATTAACTTGGACCTTAAAGGTTAGACAAAAGAAATGAGAGGTTTTCTTTTTTACATTAACAGAAAGCATCACATTCTATAACTTTTATTAAGGCTGTGTGTGTGTGGTGTCTGACTCTTTGTGACTTTATAAACAGTAGCCTACCAGGTTCCTCTGTCCATGGAATTTTCCAGGCAAGAATATTGGAGTGGGCAGCCATTCCCTTCTTCACACAATCTTCCCGACCCAGGGATCGAACCCGGGTCTCCTGCATTGCAGGCAGATTCTTCACCATCTGAGTCATGAGGGAAGCCCTAGTTTAGGGAAAAATAGACTATCTCCTGGTAGCAGTTTATAATATTCTGCAACTAGCTTGCCTAAAAGTTCAGCAAATGTCCATTCATAATATTTTAAAATTTAGTGCACTATGGGAAAATGACCATGTTTAACAAAATCTTTTCTCTGAGGCTTGTGATGGCCTTTCGCAAGTAAGTTAAGAAAGCAGATTTAACAAATATTCAAAGTTTTAATATTCAAAACAGGAAAACGAAAATCAGTTAATGAAGAGAAAGATGATCACCAAAGCAACAAATTAAACCAAACAAAAAAACTCAATTCATACAAATAATAATAGCAAATACATTTATAGTGCTAATGATGTGCCATATACTGTGCTAAGCAGTTTGAATCTGTAACTCTGTGAGGTAGACTGATTCCCATCCCATCTTATACTGGAGGAAACTGAGGCACTGAGAAGTTAAGTAACTTGCCTAATGTCACATTACTAATAATTAACAAAACTTCAAACTTAGGTGGTCTGGCACCAGACTCCNGTTTTCACTTTCACGCATGGGAGAAGGAAACGGCAACCCACTCCAGTATTTTTGCCTGGAGAATCCCAGGGATGGGGGAGCCTGGTGAGCTGCCGTCTATGGGGTCACACAGAGTCGGATACAACTGAAGTGATGCAGCAGCAGCAGCAGCTGCTATGAAGTAGAATCATCATTTCAAAGTCATGATTTTTAAGAGTAAAATTCAGATGGTCCAGGGCCGAGCACTTATTCATAGGGAATATAAATGCATCCCTTGGTTGAAATCCATTCTTACCTAGCATCTCCTTTCTCCTCAATAAACAGCATAGAAAGAGAAAGGAGGAAAGGTGCTTATAATAAACCACTGCACCCTTAAAGCTGTACTAAAGGAGAAAGAAAAATTTACAAGTAAAAATGAAATACTGGTGATGAAGATAACAGCAAATATACTTAATTCCATAAGACGGTACCATGTGCTCTCACTAGCTGTCCCAAATTTAAATGCTAACTTAAAAAAGACTTAATGCCAACCCTAAACAAAGTTTCCCTGTGTTGATCATCCTCCTCCTCCTGATTTACCTCATAATCAGTTAATAAGTTAAGTGCCCCTAAAAGTAGAAATATCTTGGTCACAGTTCTGTCTTGAGTCTTTTCTTCTGCCTCTACATTCTCACTCACTCAGAGAATGCTAGTAGCACTCCCAAATTTCTGTCTCTAGTTAGGCCTATCTCCTGCATATCAGATGTTTATTCAGCTGCTGATTTCTCTTTTCCTGGTAGTCCTCTAGGTATTTTGAAATTTCCAACACTGAATTCATCATCTTATCTCAAATCTGTTGCCCTTCTTAATCTCAGTGAATGGTATCACTATCTACCCACTCAGTTACTCAAGCCAAAACCTCTGAATTCTTCTTTCTTCTCTTCTCCCTAACTGAATCTATCACCAGGTCACATTTATTAGGCTTCTAAATTTCTCTTGACTTTGTTCTCTTCTCTCAGTCTGAGTACCGTGTTAATTCTGGCTACTACAACTTCTCATTTTAATAGCTGGCTCAAGTTTTGCCTTCTTTCAATCCATTTTCTAGATTTCTTAAAACTCTTAAATGGTCTCCAATGTTCTTAGGAGAGGGTCCAAGCTCTTTAATGTGGCTTGTAAGTCCGCACAGCCTCTTTCCCTTGCTTCCTTCTCCAGTCTTCATTTCCTGCACTCCCCTATTCTTATTCAATAGGATGGCCACTCTAACCATCATGTGGTTCCTAACTCTGTCAAAGCTCTTCCCTCTGAGCCTTTGAAGTCACGGTTCTTTCAACATGGAACACAAGGCTCAGTCTTACAGCTTCAACATAAACTTAACATTCTTTCAAGAAGTCTTCCTTGCCCACATCACCTTTGACTGTCTCAAAACCTTAAGCACTGGTGTCCCACCTCTAGTCTTCAAGGCACCCTGCCATAACTAAAGCATTCATCACACTTTATTGTTAGTGACTCTATCTGTATCCTCCAAGAGACTCTAACTTTCAAGAGGCTATGAGAGTAGGCTTGTTTCTAACTTGTTCATCTTTTATCATCAGCACCTAAAATAGTATCTGGCTCATAGAACTGCTCAATAAACATTTGCTAAATGAAGAAACAGATAACTATTAAAAAAAAATGATGACAAACAGCACCTCTTAGGATATGACTTTCAAAACTAGTATTAGAGTTTGTGCTGTAGGACATATTTTTACTTTGAAAAAAATCTATAAAACATTCCATGTGAGTGTCATCTTCACGGAAGTTACAAGCTACCTTAGTAGTTGAGTCAAGGACCTTGTGGCCATAAACTAATTCTATGTGTATAAATACAAGTTGAGAAACTGGAATTGGGAGGTAGGAAGGGCAGGTATTCTAATCTCAAAGAAATTGCAAGACTTATCCCAAAGAATTCTAGGCTGGTGCTTTTCTCAATTCTGTTAATAGTAGTCTAACTTAATGTGCGAATCACCTCTTGTTAAATAAAGGACACTAGAACCAACCACAAAATGGATATGAACTTTGAACTGTTTGTCTACTAACGGAATTACAGCTATCTACCCAAAGTATCTTTAGTTTTGTTCATGCGATCACTGAAACAAAAGCATGAGAGTGGATGGTGGAACATAGTTTGCTGTAATAGGGCAAAGCAGAGTTAACTGCCTCATGAAGGAATCAATGCCATGACCCTGACCTCAACAGGCTAGAGTTTCCCAACTCTCTTTAATTTCAATGCAAACAAACAAACTTTAGAGGAATACTGATAACATTTAGGAAAAGAACAAAGGGCTTTAACTTCAATGGAGAAACAACTCAAACATCATAGATTCTGCTACCTGGATATTCTCGGTTGTAGGAATTTTACAGAAAAGGCAGTCTTGATCTGTTTAAACCTGAAATGAGTGCCCACTTTCATTTGGTTGGGCCCATTTAGATGCTGGAGAGAGTATACTTTTTACCTGCAAAACCTGAGGACTCTTACTACAAACAGCTAGTGGTGTCAGCATCAAAATTTAGTGCTTAAACATGGCTCTTATCTTTCATGAAGTCGACTTTTGTGTGGATTCTGAAAAGTCATGTTGAAATGCTGTTTTGATTTTCCCTGATGCCCTCCCATGCTTCTTGGTACTTTTATCTTGAGTCACCAGAATTTTGGCATCAGATTGCAGTGAGGATGAGAAGTGATGATGCAGCAGGTGACAAGTAAGGGGGTAGTGATGGAAAAAAACTTAGGACACCCTGATAAATTCAAGGCCAACTTTTAGGCATGTAAAAGCTTTGAGAATAAATATATAAAGCTTTGATATATACAAGTAGTTCCCAACCAAAGTTAGGCAATGTCATAACTTGGTAACCAATATATAAGCACATACCTGATAGCTGCTACCTTTCCAAAACTTTTTCATTTCCTTTCGTCTCCAGGCAACAAGTGAGGCAGTAATGAGTGTGCAAGGTACTAAATAGAGGAGAGCAGGTTGCCCCTTTTTCATCAGCACCAGAACAACAAATGTAAGAATCATGCCAATGGCATAGGCTGCAAGAATATCAAGTATCAGTCATTTTTATGCTATCAAAGGTGGATTTTAATACTCTCACTAAAGTACTGGTTTTCAATATTTCTCAGAATGTTTTTGCCTTATGACTTCTTTTCATAATTTCATTATTATCCTAGAGAGTAGTCAGGAGAGACATTCTACAGAGCTTTTGAAAAATGTGGAAACTGTTTAGTATTTCCACTATAATTAATCATTAATAACATAATTAATCCTTAATCATTGATAAAGATAATGATTTAAGAAAGTCTCAGTTATCTGCCACCTTAATATTAAGGATGTTAAGTTGTTCCACATACTAGATAACTAAAATCTGTGCCTACAGGTACCAAAGGTTGTTTTAAAAAATCTTTCTATTATTGATTATATACTTCCTGGTCGTCTTCAACAACTGCATATCAAACTTCATTTGATATGACCCTGGGTCATATTTGATGACCCTGGGTCTCATTATGAACACTGGGTCTCAGAAAACTGGAACTCACAGGGTTTTTACGGACAATGCAGTCCACCTTCTCGTTTTAGAGATGATGCAACGGAGGACCAGTGAAGAGAGTTGCCCAAAGTTACAATGGACGAATACTGAAGTACAATGAGGCAATGGAGGACCAGTGAAGTTAAGTGAGTTGTCCTAATTTATAGTCTTTTTTTGTCTTTTCACTGAATGTTTTTTTATTCGATCACACTGACTAGTGCTGCACGCTAACATGTTAATGCCTTTAGGGAGTATCGTACTTAATGGCCTCGGACTGCTTTTATTATTTATTTATAATTTTCCCC